TTTTGCACGTCAATACTGAACAATTGCGAGACAGAAACGATTTGGAAAGAAATGGGACGATTTACGACACATGTAAATGACGATGTTTGCTTAAAACCTTTATGTTACCGCGTGTCGTTAAATGTTCTAAAAAATAAAACACTATTTATTATCTGAATAATCAACTTTATTGTATTCAAATTTGATGTTGTTTTATCAAAGTTTCCAAGATCGACAAACTATTTTTTAATATAGTATACGTAGAATTTTTTTTATCAACTCTGTTATCAAAAGTAAAATTGTAATTAGGTTATCAATTAAATTTCATTTTTTTTTTTCAATTATTTCTGGCGATCTTTTGAAATTGAAGAGAAAACACTTTCGGCCATGAATTGATATTATAGATCACGTATTTCTTCAAACTTTCAGAATGTTAACTTTTTGTGAAAAAAATAACCTATGCAAATTTTCAAATGATTACGATATCATATAGACATGGTTGCGATACAAAAATTCGCATTTTTAGTAGTTTTTGTATGAAAAGTGCTTCGAAAATTATTTGTATCGTAAAACTAATGTCAGATTTGAGTAAAAGATATGTAATAAATGCATGTTGTGGATCACAGTGCGGAAAAGTCCATCTTACGGATGTAAGACATTTTATTTTTTAGGTTTCTTTCACAAACCTATTTCAGTTAGTCGTTTTTTTAGCGAAATCATAAGCTTTTCGTAATATCACTGGAATTCATGAGCGCTTTATAAGAGCATTGTTCTAACCAACCATTTGTAATACAACAACAATTCTATATAAAAAAACGCCGTGTTCCGCTTTGATATAACAACCATTCTGTACGTTGTTTTTATTCTAGAGCGTTCAATTGACCATTTGCGCAGCGATTAAATGAGGAAATACTATGTATTTTGAAGATTACTTATTTAAAGAAAATATTAACAAAATATTTTTCAATTTACAATTCCTTTTATTGAGTAAATAATAGATAAATTATAAAGAAATCAATTACTTTTTTAAGAATTTAAAACTCAAATATTTTTTTAAAACTAATTTTTAACGAAGTTTTGAAATTGAAAAGGAAACTTGATTACTCTTGAATTTATGGATCACGTTCAAACTTCAAGTAATATGGTGTATATGTATTCCACTGCTTTCCATGTTCACAAGATATTTGCCATGTTGGTTTCATAGACTCCTCTAAGTGATTATTTATTTTGTCCATTTTTTTTTTATAAAGAGGGTATTCGAAATCATCAAAATTAAAAATCTTTATGGTTTTCAAATTTGATTTTGTTTTATCAAAATTTTCAAAGAATACTGTCAACGATGACAGTTGAATTTCACCAAAAATAATTGCACCAAATTCTTTAACATGAGTTAACGATTCAATACAATTCATGTAACTATCTTCAATTAATCCCTCCAAAAATACAGTTTCCAATTTATGGAAGCGATTGATAAAATTAGTGATTCGATGATCAAACCATGTATTGGAAAGAATGTCGCGTCCGCTATCCAAATCGAGATTTTCCAAGTTGGGCATGTCAAATGGAATATCTCCATATAATTCATCTAATCCTTTAACGGTTGCACTGAAACTAGTTACTGATGTAAAATTATACACCTTATTAGTTGGTGGAGCATAAAATTCCTTTCCAACATTGTTGACATTAAGTGTTTTCAAGTTTTTTAAATGTTTGTCAATCGAGCGGATAGTTCTTATTGTATGTTGACCCGAAAGTGAGAGCTTAGTTAATTGTTTATTGTTTGCGATAATGTGTACTAGTTGATCTTCTCCTAATGATTCTTCAGTGTCAAGTGATAACTCCTTCAGGTGTCGCACATTTGCCAAGCAGTTTATGTCGTCCACTTCACCTTCCAATTTGAAAATTTCAAGTTTGGGAAATATTGAATGCACATCGAATGGGTTTTTGGTGATTCGACCGTCGTATTCAAACTTCTTCATTTCTGGAAAATGAATTTCTCCATTTTCATTCGAGATATCTTGCCAACATTCTTGTGATAATTCCCAAGGAGTGTAAAGTTTAAGCTCTGTCAATTGTTTTGCATATTTTTTGATAATATTTTCATTTATATCGTGACACACATGGTCATCCACTGAAACATAATTCACATCAATTCGCCTGACATGTTCACCAAAGTATCGAAAGAGTTTCATTGTTCTCTCATGATCCTCGATTAAAAGACAAACATCGCCTTCTCGTTCACAGTCAGTGACTTTGTCATATTGATGTGGTATGAGTCTGATTGTGCGATTTGCAAATATTCTTTTAATTGCTTCTCCGGATCTCATTTTTGCATGTGCTGCATTCTTCGTTGTTTCGAATCCAGCTCGGATGAGAATTTCGTCGATTAATTCATATGGCAAATGCGATTGGTTTGCATTGACCTCTGGCTCAATGACGGGCGTTGAAATGATGCCAAACACATTTCCACCTTCGCTTTGGTTTATCTAATTTAAAGTAAAAAATGTTTTGTTTATAAATATTTGTGATATATTCAAAGTGTGATCAGTCCAAAATTGTACTTACAATGCCTGCAAAAAAGATTAAAACAAATGCCAATCTGTAGAAAAGTTCCATTTTTTTAATTTTTCAATCCGCAATTGACGATTTTATGAAGTTTTCCGTCGTCTTTTATATTTTCCAGCTCATCTATAACGTACTTACAGAACAACAGAAAAATGTACACGAGTTACAGTTTTATTACCACAGAATCCGATCGATTTAATCATCGAGAAAATATTGGAGTATATTATCACCAGATCCATTGAGTAGTTCGATATTTTGTAAAATTGTTGCGCATTGGTTATTATTCACAGTGGAAAAATGTTTAATTAAACGGATTCCAAAGTTAGCTTTGTTTTCATATTCATTTGAAATGAAATAAGACATCATACGCGATATTGTAAATGGGGATATTTGTCTAACCTCTTTACTACAAAATGCGTCGTGGAATAGTCAATAAAATTCGTCATCAGATTTTCAGGTTTTTTTAAGTAAAAATTCAGGCAAACGCTTTAATTTTTAATTATCATATATGAAAGATGATTAAGTCGGATATTTTGGGTGGTTCAATTTATTGAAGTATTGGTGCGTTATAAAACTCAGATGACTCAGATGGAAACAGTTTAATTAGAGGCATTCCAAATCTTCGCAATCCTCGCAATTTCTCACTTCATTGTGTTTAAGATCGAGTGAATACAATAAGTATCATGGACGTCCATGAAGGGATATTTTTTGAAAAAATAACTACAGTATAATATTATCAATAATTTTTTTGATTAGCTCTTTTATTAAGAGGAAATGTTTTATTTATCAATTTCAATTTAAACTCACATCGTTTTTTCAAATAATTTTTTTGAACTCGAAAAAAACCATTATTGGTTATGAATTTAGATCACGTTTAAATATCAAGTAATAATGTCTGGATGTTCCCCTTCGTCCACTCCCATAAGATAATTTCCATGTTGGTTTGTAAATTTCTTTCAAATGACTATTTATCTCATTCATTGTATCTTCATAACGAAAATATTCCGAAAAATTGAAATTATACAACTTCAATGTCTTTAAATTTGATGTGGTTTTATCAAAGTTTTCGAAAAAGTCTTTCAAAGATGACAGTTTACTATTTCCAAAGTCAATTGTAGCGAATTCTTTAACGTGAATCATTGATTTAATACAACTCATTGAACTTTTTCCAGTTAATCCATCCACATATACAGTTTCCAATTTGTGGAAACGATTGACAAAATTAGAAATTCGATGATCAATATTCCATCCGACCAACTTGAGATTTTCCAGGTTAGGCATATCAAATGAAATATTTCTATATAAACTTGCCATTACTCCAAAGACACTAAAGCTAGTTACTGATGTAAAATTATACACCTTATTAGTTGTTGGAACGAAAAAATCATTTCCAACATATTTAACAATCAGTGTTTTTAGATCTTTTAAATTTTCGCGAATCGATCGAACAGTTCTTATTGTGTTGTAATTCCAAAGCGTGAGCTTAGTTATCTGTTTATTATTTGCAATAATATTTACTAGTAGATCTTCACCAATTGACTTAGTATTAAGTGATAACTCCTTCAGGTGCCGCACATTTGCCAAGCAGTTTATGTCGTCTACGTCACCATGCAATTTGAAAATTTCAATACTGGGAAGTATTGAATTCACATCGAATGATTTTCTACTGATTCGACCGGTATATTTGAACTTTTTCACTTTTGGAAAATGAATTTCTCCATTTTCATTCGAAATTTCTTGCCAAATTCGTTCATTTTGTGACTCTGACCAAACCTGAGGCGTGTAAATTTCAAGCTCAGTCAATTGGTTTGCATATTTTTTGATGATATTTTCGTTGATATCACGACGCATATCATCATCCATATAATAGTAATATATATGAATTCTCCTGACATGTTCACCAAAATGATGAAAAAGTCTCATCAGTTTGCCATAATCCTGAATTTTAAGAAAATGTTCGTCTTTTTGATCAAACTCAATGATTTCTTCGTGTTTCTCGTGTGGATATGGCTTGATAATTATTATGTTATCTTCAAATATTCTATTGATTGCTCCACGGGATCTTATTTTTATTTGTGCTGCTTTCTTCGCTGCTTCAAAACCAGCTTTGTAGAGAATATCTTCCAGTATATGATTTGGCAGTTCTGATTGGTTTGCACTGGCCTCGATGATTGGATGTTTTGCGGTTCCAATCAAATTCCCTCCTTCACATTCGATTATCTAATTTAATGCAGAGAGACGTTTTGTGTTTGAATGGAAAAATAGAAAAAAAATAAATTCTTGAAGATATTGAGAAAAAAACTTCGAACGATACTTACAAAAGGCATTAAGGCCAAAGCCAAACCACAAAAAAAAATCATTTTTCAACTTTTGTAGAAAAAAGTCTTTCAATAGATAAAATAGCTTAAAAGTGATAACTTTACAGATCTGCTTATTGACTTTTATACTCTTAACGTGTAATGCATCTGAAATATACATTAGACTAGTTGATAATCGAATTTCTATTCAAATATGTTCGCGAATTAATACTCAGTGAATAAAAAAAGGTTAATTAAACGCGAAACATTTGAAATGAAATAGGACAATATACAGTGTATATGAAAGATGATTGAGTTTGATATTTTGAGTGGTTCAGTTTATTGAAGTATTGCTGCGTTATAACTGTATATATAT